AGATGAATCATTTCAATCTTCTATTCTTGTCTAATTTTTGTTTTAGTTCACTAGCGTTTTTAACGTGTACTGGCCTTTTGTATTTATATTATACTTGCCTTAGTTTTCACTTATATATATTTTTAGGCTAATACAATGTTACTATAATATTACAATAATTTTAACATAGGCTTTGTAACTGAAAAACCCAGCTTGGAAGTTGCAATAAACGTATGTATGTTTGTATGTATGTATGTACCGATTGCCTTATACTCTGAATAGCCTACACTCCAGTCTAACTTTTACGATGGAGCTTTCCGTTGCTAATAAGATCTCTTTTATCGGCATTGAAAATGTCAAGAACGGAACTAACTTGAAAGTCAAGTTTACCGAAAACCATTACACTCTTACACTTCTACAGTCACACCAATAAACGCTATAAAGACTCTTTATTAGAGACAATGTTCACCGAGCCTATGACCTATCGTCTACCACAAAGGCTTTTAATGCAGAATGTGTCAAATTGTGCTCTATTTTCAGTCGTCTTGACTACCCTATGGGCCTTATTAATTCCGCTATCATTAATTCTTTTTATAGAAATGCTTCGGCAGGCATAGCGGAAAAAAAAACACCGAGGAAAATAGCACAGTAAGAATTAGTCTTCCATTCAAAGATCAAGTGGCCGCAAATGCGGTTCGGAAGCAGTTGCGCGATTTTAGCCATAAGATTCTCCCTATATTGCAGCCTGTTTTTGTGAGCAAGAAATTAGGGCAAGATCTTAAACCCAACGAAATCAAGCCGTCAATTGTGAATCGGTAATGCACTGTTTATCGTTTCTCATGTTAACCGTGCCCTGCAGGTAATGTCGGGTACACAGCCCGACACCTTCATCCACGTATTGCTGAGCACAAATATTTGGCAATCAGTCGACATTTCGTGGAAGCTCACGGTAGCAAAAGCCTTTTGAAAGAAAACCAATTTAGAGTTTTAAGAAAGCGCCAGGGAAAATTTGATTGTTTAGCCTTTGAAATGCTGTTCAGCTAGAATCTCAAGCCTAATTTAAATATCCAGATGGACTCCATACGTGCCAATCTTTTTGTTTAATTGCTATTGTTCTTTTCTTACGGTATAGCTTTTTATGACCCATTGTTATTTTGATATATAGAGGCTGCAACTTACAAATATTTTTTTTACTTGATAATGACGTTTAACCAACGTCGAAACGTCGTCGTTTTTTAGCAATCTTGATCGTCTCAGTGAGTGTGGTCCTTATACATAAAAGAAGTTTTTTAGGAGAACCGCAGTGTTGACTGAGTCAGGCGTCTCGTTAAATCATCCGTGATTTAGTCGAAACGACAACTGTTAGAACCAACTACACTCATAGTATAATAGCTGTTAAGGGAAAACTCCTTACCTATTGGGATATTAATTATTTGGATTGGTAGTACGCAATCAATCGACTGACGAAGACAATCGGGTAGACTGGTTGTTCGCCAGATCGCAAAGTTTTATCATTCTTTGCTAATTTTACAGCGTCTATTTTGTTTTTTTTATATTTTCATTCAGTTCTATTTTCATTTAGTTGTAACAAGCTTGCTTATTGTCCTATTATGAATATCGCAGATATCTGCCATTTTTTTTTTTTTGTGAGATCGATTTTCGTGTTCACCTCGCCAGCTCTCCAGGAGGATTCGCCATATCGACAGTCACTTTAATAAACATGGTATCGCCCCGAATATAACCACCCTTACGGACCTCTACTTGAGAAACGAATGTGGGAGAGCCCGATGCAATGTTCATATTTGAGGTGGGTCTCTTCGTACTACTGCTATTTGGATCGGGATGATATGTCTCAACAATGTCTCGAATTTTATCCTGGTCCACCAGTCTGAAGTGAACCTTTTGTACGAAAGGCCAGGGTAAAATGGCGTCATATTCACCCCTCATGACAACGAAAAAAAGTGATATATGAGTCCCTTTTCCTATGCCATCTCCATTTGGGTCGAGTCGGACAGAAACTTTGTAGCCAAAGCGACCGACGTAGAAAGGAGGACTGTAGATCGATGCTGTCCTTTCAGATAAAGCATCTTGATATTTTCGACTGTAGTGGTCTATTTTCCAAATGTAAAACCCATCATAGGATGTGGCCTCAAGCATTTCAATTTGGAGGCTGTTCTCAGATAGTTGAGTTTCGTGTGAGGAAAGTTGGTTCTCAGCCCTTTCTAATCGATGGTCAGTGGCGAGGTCGTGGACTCTTCGTGGCTCATAAGGATTTGGTATCTTGCTGCTCAGACGACTTAGCTCCCTTTTTAATTGAGTCGCCTTTGTTTCATTTTCCTTTAAAGTTTCTAAAATCTCGTCCATCTGAAGAGAGACAACAAATCCTTGAGTGTTTTCAACCAATTTGGAATCTCGAAGAAGCTTGTCCAGATCCTCTCTCTGTTCGCAAATCTCCCTTTCAGCTTTGGATATTTTAGTCTGTTGCATTTGTATGCTAGTATTTGACGCTGCAAGCTGCTCATTTTGACGGCAAATTTGTTTTCCACAACCACTTAGCTTGCTCTGCAGACGAGCTAGTCCTTCCTCCATTTCTTGGCCTCTCACTTTAAGCTCATAACTTGATTGGTTTAACAAGTCTAAGTGGCTCTTTATACTAGCTTCCACGTGTCTCTGAAGTTCGTCTCTCTTTCCCTAAAGGAAGATTGACAAAATTAAAATGAAAAGAATTTAAATGAATTGTCACCCTTATAAGAAATTAGTGTTCTGTCACGATGATAGCGAAATTCAGTAACTGTGGGTTATACATTGTGTTACTAAGCGGTCAAATTTAATACATCAATGTACACAGGGTCACCCTTTAGAGATATTGACAGAAGACTATGCGACTTACCTTGAATTTACATCCGTAAAGCGTGAAATGACATGGGACCTCACTATTGGGGCATTCGACAGTCATATGTTCTTTCATAAGATCACGAGGAATGGCTTCCTTTCCACAGCTTAAAATGCAATTGATCGGAAACTTTGTACATGTTTTGAAATGATCCTAATGAGAGATTTAGAGAATGTAGACGACATTTTATCCTCGTGAAATTACCCGTCACACTGACCATTATCA